CTCTGGATGAACCAGAGACAATATTTGTCAGCTGTACTTCCTTACCCGTTACATAATGCCTATTGCTCCCTGTGAGACCTCTCTATTCTCGAGGGGCAACATTATGGAGCCATATTGCTCAGTGTTTTTGTCAGACACTCAATTGTCAAACTGAGAGGAAAGGCGTGTATAATTACATCACACAGTGAATAAAATCTCAATCCAACTCAATTTGATCTATACCGTTTGTCTTTTCCAGGTGTAAATTGTTCCTTTTTAATGATAAATCTGATTGTCACAGAGTTATTGTTCAGTGAAAGTAGTTCTGCTGTTCCGAATGGGAAAAAATGTAAAAGAATAGAAATAATAAATGCTTCCCAGTCTAGGAAGAGAGGCCTTTGTCAAGGCCACCGGTGGGCGGCATGGCGTCCTGATAATTAGATCTAAAAGCTCCGGGTTACTTTGTTTTTGCGAGGTGCCTTGGAATTGGAATCGCATCCACATAGCCAAAACCCAGTAAATTTAATCGTTGCCTCCATCTTATTTCCTGCCCGCATTCACAAAAACTTCAGGAAATTGCTACTATGAACTTGTGACCTGAGAACGATTTGGAATAAATTGATTTTCCAGAGTGGGAATAGGAGCATATCTCAGCTATGTTCTCTTTTGGGAAAAAGTAGTAATTTAAAAACCTCTATTACACTTAGAGAATGAACAATCCTTTCCAGAGAGTGAGGAAATTTTTAGGTCAGAGGAAGACAAAACTCTAACAAATGTCATTAAATCTTCACAACTGAGCTGCTTTTTTGGATCAGTCCATGATATCTTACATCGTGCCGGATTTGGAAAAGTCTCACATGGCATACCTTCACGTAACCAACTGTTTGATCCTTAATTGCCTAATATTAAATTGCCCCTCCTAGAGGTTGATATTTTGATCTAAATATCTAGCAGTTTTGCTAATTGCAGTGGTATATATAAACCTATAAAGTAGTTGCCAGTTTCGACCACCCTGTTATAAAGACTTTGCATCATTTATCCCCTCTACTTACTGACCCACTTACATAATGCTAATCCATCCCCGGGAGACCTTTTAGTTACTTTAGTAACTATCAAGTAGCTATCTTGGTGCCCTAATGGAAACAAGCTGCAGCAGTGGCAATCAGAGATGATGTATGTGATAAATCTCTTAAGTGTTGCTTCAGAGAAATGCCGCTGGGAAAACTGATCAGAAGCACCTCCGCTCTAATGAGAACACCAGATGATACTGAGTTTCGATGTTCTTAATCTTTGCCTCGTTTCTTTTTTTCTCCTTTGCCTCATTTCTGCTAAACTAATTGCCTGCCACCTCTGTTGCTCAAATTTACACCATCGCCTTTTTCCTTCCCTTCATGTCGACATGCAAGCCCCATTATAGAAATCTCAGAAAAAAGCAATTGGTTTGTATGTTGCAGACAACAGCTTTCTTTGCCACGAATAAAAAAATTGACCAGTTTGATCCAAACAATTTAACTTAAACAAGTTTACTGATGTAGGAATCTGAAAATGATGCATCACTGGAGTGCCAAAATAAAGCGGACGAAAGGTACTAGCACATATGTTTTGCATTTTCTTTATTGCAAGAGTCATAATTAAACACAAGAAGAAGAAGAAGAAATGAAATGATGAAATGCATGCAAAATATGCAGTGCTGATGCAGAGGAACTCGTTGCTCTGGTCTAATCCGTTCAGTGTTTTTGAAAGAGTACCTTTTAACTCGAGCCATAATCTCATGTTAATTCTAAAGCAGTAGTTTTGGTGCCTAAACCAAACAACAAAGGAGAACAGGAGTAAACCACAACCGAAATTCAAACTTTAAAAATGTCGCTGTAGGAATTTAGACCCTATTTAAAATAATTTTTCAAAAGTTTTTTAGGTGAATTTGTGTTTTTGCCACCAGCTGCCCTCATTTGAGATGATATGGTCATTTAGGTGGGGGACTTGATAACTACAACGTAATGTCTTTCAACATAAATATACTACGTTATGAGTTAAATATGCTCAGCAACAGGATCAGCACTTATTTTGAATGAACAGACCAAAGAAAATTTGGCGTTTGGTGAATGCTGGCTGCTAAAAGAACAAACAAACTACAACCTTTAAAGAAAGTCCAGTGTTACTGGAAGAATAAAACACAAGACTGGGTTAAGGAGTAGTTGCTGTAACATTCTGTCGACATTTAGTGTTCGTAGGGTGAACTTAAGGGACTTTGTCCTATCAGCTATTTACCTCAGGATGAATTATGGAGGTCCTAAATCACTGACCTGTCTGATTTGTGGGTTGGCTGTGGTGTGAGTTATGGGTCATGGTTTCATGTTGGCTATTGACTGTACTGACTGATAGCTCCTAGGAGACAGGGGTCAGAAGGTGTCAAGTTGTGGTAGTGTGATATATCTGTGTGCGGGCAGCTGTATTGATTTGCCTTCATTAAAGCACATGTGAATACCATCATGTTTTCAGCATAACACTTTCTTTATTGTTTAGTACAGTGTATATAGAAAAAATGCAGTAGAGAAAGTGATTTGTGACCATATTACTTTAATTAAAACCAGTTTTACCTGGTATCTAGGCAAAACTGAAAACAAAACTCTTGGTATTGACACAAGCAGTCTCTGTGACACTGTTTGGTTTGGGTGTCTGCCACCCACATTCCAAATATCGACAAAGAAAATACCATATGAAATGTAATGACGGCTATGATGACAGACAGTGACAATCCAGAATGTCAGAAGGTTTTCTATCTCACAAGCAGACAAGTTGAAATTCTGTTTGTGCACAAAGCACAGAAACAGTTTAGCAAGTCTTAGTGGTACTTTTATTTTCTTGAGTTTAATTTCAAGTCCATTGTATTGACTGTTCGGGAATTACAGCGATTGTTATGTATAGTCCCAATTTTCGGAGGCTCAAAGTTAATTGAACAATCAACTGACAAACATTTGTATTTCACGATGAGGCCTGTTTCCTTCTTATTTCCTGACGAACTAGGTAGATAAAATATTTGGAATTGATTGCAAGTGTTAAACTTGCATTTCACATCTTTTTATTGGAACTCTCAATATAGATGTCTAAAGAGATGTCAATGCAAATGAAGGAGACGATCATTAGGCTGGAAAAACAAACAAACAAATACATGTACGGGAGAACCAAGATCCGAACATTCCCAAGGAGGTTGGCATATCATTGTCAAAGTCTACAATCAGGAAAGGACTTCTTGATTGTAAATACAGAGGGTTTACAGTAAGGTGCAAACCACTGGTTACATTAAAGAACAAGAAGCCCCGATAAAACATCTGAAAGAGCCTGCATAGCTCCGGGAAAACAAGCCTTTGGGAATACAAAACCAAGATTGCCTTTTGCCAGAATAATGGAAAGAGAGAAGTAATGGAGAAGGAGAGAAACAGCTTTGATCTGAAGCATACCACATCTTCTGTCAATTATGGTAATGGCATGGGGATGTATGGCTCCCAGTGGAACCAGGTCACTAGTGTTTATTGATTATTCAACTGCCGATAGAAGTTGAAGGATGAATTCTGAAATGTACTCTCTGCTCAGATTCAGCCAAGTACTGCAAAACTAATTGGGCAACGCTTTGCAGTGCAAATGGATACAGACCCAAAGCAAACGGCAAAACGAACATGAGAGTTTCTGATGGCAGTTGCTGGAGACAAAACTGAAAGTTGCTGCTGAAATAAGCAGCAGCTTTAGTGAAGACCTTGCGGAGCATCACAAGGGTGATGATCTCTTCTTGACTGAAGTCATTTGCAGTCAAGCAATAATCATATTTAAACTGATGTTGATTTCTTGTATTATAAGTCTCTGTCAATGCAAGATTATGTATAAAAGTGGCTGTAAGTCATTGAAACCCCTTGAAATAAAGCTTAAAGTCTGCACTTAAAAACCTCCTGGGGTGGTGTACAGATGTATGCTTAGCTATGGGGATGATCACAGCTCATTTTTAACACTCAGTCATGTGTTCCTTGTTCCTGGGTAGAGCTGTTTGACAGGGATGTAGTTAAATAACGAGAGGTGAGAGGTGGGTGTGCATGAGGGAAAGATAGGACCCAATTCACATTACTTTGCTGAACAGCTGAAAGATTAAAAAAGTGAAACTGAAAAACAGGCCGTGTCTCTGAAAACGCATCACATCATTGATTTCTCATAAATCACTAATGGAGTCTGCGCAGGGATTTTCAGCGTGAAGTGAAGACTATTGAAAACCACCAATTCAGATGCTTTCATCTCATTCTGTAAGCAGTAGCCTTGAAAACACTAAGTACTAGGAAGAAAAAGAGGGGCTCGCTTGTGTTTAGAAAAGAGAGAGAAGCAGAAATAACATTTATCTAGACACATTTATTTTTAACAAGAGGCAGCCTCGACATCTATTGACATAATGTGCAGTTTTTGTCAATTGTGCTAGCCAGTTTGCACAATTAGACCCTCCCCAGCCTGTCTCTTTTTTCTGTTTCCCAATTTCTAAGCACCAGAAACAGGCACCGCTCTCCACGTTGAGTCGGTTGCTTACTTGGCTGCGTACTACAGTGCACTCGGTGACCTGGCTTTTATACCGAGAAAGTGACTCTGACAGCGTGTAGGCAGATACATTCAAGTGTGTGAGTCTGGATGTGTATTCTGTGGATACATGTTAAACAGTTTTGTCAGCCTGTGAATCTGTTTGCCTTCGGTGTGCTTCATGTGCATATTATAAAGTGTGAGTTTGTGTACGTGGTGTCTGCCTTAGCTCCGGTCATATCAGTGAGGAGGTGGCACTGTACTGTCCAATAAGAGCAGTCAGCCTGCAGGCAGGATTGGCCATCTGGACACATGATAGGGAGCCTAGCCCAGACATCAGTCTTTCTTCAATTCCTCTTAGTATTATCTGAACTCCATCTCTTTTTGCTGCCTGTATATCCATTAATAATAAAACACTGTATTTTAACATCACCCTTTCTCTCCTTTCTCTCTCTCCCCCCCATCTCCCACAGTTTGCTGTTTTGTGGTCCACAAGAGATGCCATGAATTTGTCACGTTCTCCTGCCCGGGGGCAGATAAGGGGCCCGATACAGATGTAAGTAACCCAGCCCAGCTGTTGCCTCTTACATCTTTGTTGACGAGGAAGTGCTTTTCTCGTCATTAAACTGAAGTACGTGCCACCGATATGCAGTTGCACCAACCAGACCTCGCTCTTTCCCGAACAGTGTCGCTCTTTGACAGCTGTAGTGCTCCCATGTTTCCTTATCGTGTTATGAAGCAGCTGTCTGTAAAGGGGGAAATGAAAAATTAAACTGACATTTCTTCTGACAAGTATCACTTTCCAAGCATCTTGAGCTACAAAGATACTCCAGATGTTTAAAAATGAAATAAAATCCTGCCTTCTATAGAGTAATGTTGATAGCTACATATGTAAATATTGATCTCAGAAATGTGGTGATTATGGTGGAAAATTGTTAAGACTGATTATACATGTCTTAGTGGAGAGATGGAAAGCCGTTCTAGTGCCACTTCTAGTATCTGCCCATTTCTCCGAGAGAGAAATGACTTCAAAACATGGCAGGAGAATGGCCCCCACAGCACACCAGAACCACTGGATTCCCTCAGGATAAAGGGTTTGTTTATTTCCTTGAATGTGTCACCATCCTTTATATAGTTGCATTAATAAACAAATCTTATGGTTATCTGAAGAAGCCCATTCAAATTTTAAGTCCTGTTGACTCAGTACTGAATTACTACAGCAGCAGGTGGCAAACTCATTCATTGTTTGTGTTGCCGTTGAATAACTGGTTGCCACCTTTAGTGAAAGTGACTAAAATATTTCTCTCAGTGATTTTCTCTCCCGAAACCCTTAAGGGAAACTTGACTTTATTGTCTCTCTGAAATAGTGCTGTGTACCAAATTTGATGCTTTTATGGCATCAGCTGATTTGCACCAGTATTTAAAAATGAATTGCCCCACCAGCATTACCCAATGAATCCAGTGTCAGTGAGGCAGTAAGGTTTGTCTAAGCTAACCTTACATTCAGCAGATTGTTGGAAACATTACTCAGAGATTTTGCTCCATTTTGATATGACAGCATAACATAGTTGCTGCAGATTTGTTGGCTGCACATCCATAATTTGAACCTCCTGTTCCACCACATGCCAACGGGGCTCTTTTGGATTGAGATTTGTTGACTGTGCGGGCCAGATGATCACAGTAATACCATTGTCACGTTTCAGAAACCAGTTTGTGATGATTTGAGCTTTGTGACATGGCGCGTTATATTACTGAGAGCAGCCATCAGAAAATGAACACACTCTGGTCATAAAAGGCGTGATCACCAACAGTACTAAGGTAGACTGTGGTGTTTAAACAATGCTCAGGTGGTGCTGAGGAGCTCAGAGTGTGTTGAGAAAATATGCCCAAGACCATTACACCAGAAGCAGCAGCCTGAATTATTTATACAAGGCAGAATGCTGTCGTGTTGCTTATGCCAAATTCTGACCCTACCACCTAGCTGTCACAACAGAAATGGCGACATTTTTCCAATCTATTGTTCTACTTTGGCCAGCTTGTGCAACTTGTAGCCTCAGTTTCCTGTTCTTAGTTGATAGGAGTGGCTCTCGGTGTGGTCTTCTACTGCTGACATCAACAAGCCATTTTCACCCAGAGAACTGCCTCACTGGATATTTTGTCCCCACACAGCCATCTCTAGGATATCTCTAGGATATGGCTGTGGGGGGAAAGACAGATCAGCAGTTTCTGAACAGACCCTGCTGAACCCAACAGCCATGCCAAGTTCAGAATCATTTAAATCACCTTTGTTCTCCAATTTTTTTTTCTGGACCATGTTTTCATGGCTAAATGCAGATGAGTTCCTGTCATCTGACTGACTGATGAATTTGCATTCATGAGCAGATGATCAGGTATACCTAATGAAATTGCTGCTGAGTTTATATGGAAAGTTGACAATGCTGTTGATTTGATTTCATTTACAATGAACTTCATAAAATAACTATTACAAAAATGTGATTAGGAACTAGTATCAAAAGCAATAGAAACCAATGCAATCTCCAAACATCTTTGAAAAACAGGTTGTGACTTTGTGTAGGACAGAGTTCAGAGACAACCCGACTGGCATACAAATGTTGCATTAATGATGACTGGGTCCTGATGTAGTTCACAGACAGATGGGCAATGTAGGATTGGTGGCTGTAATCAACAAAACTACATCTGTCTTGGCAAAGCCAAGAGATGCACACAGTTCGAGCAGCTGTTTCTCTGTACCTGTCAAAATAAATCGTGACCGAAAAGAAAAACTAATCCTAGTGAGACACTGTGAAATTTAGTGAGCGTCCATGAAATTTGCCATTGTATAGGCAGTTTCGCTTCTTTTTGCATTTTGCATTATTAAACAACTTGGCATTTGTGCTTAAAGTTCTAGTTGAAATGGTTCATAAAGTGATCAATTCTGTAAATTAGTTTTTTGCCTGATAATTTTATCATTTTAACTTAGTAAATTAAAAAAGAGCTTTATTTTAAAATCCTATTTTTAATTGGCCCATCAAAATTTTGAGATGAATATCATCTCTTATATGACACATTAATGAGGTCTCCCACTGGCCTCTTTATCAGCTTCTAGTATCAGCTATCTGCCATCAACCACCGCTTGCTTGCTTGCATTTACATACCTGCTTGCCTACTGGACATTCATGACCTCCAAGTGTAGCAGCAGCATGGCCTGGCCCCTGTAACTAGAGATATGTCACACTGCCGTTCAAGATCATCTAGTCCACAGAGTGCTCTCTTTAAATAGAGCACTATGTGGAAGACATTGAAGCTGTAACTGTATGAAATAGTCTCAGGGTAAATCTCACTCATTTCTGTTTCATACATGTGTTACATAAAACTTCGGAGTGCTGCACTCCCTCCCCATTGGCAAAAGTGGGAACATAAAACTCCCTTTTAACAGGAAGAACCAGCTCAAGGAAGGGCAGCCATCTGCTGCGGCTGATTGGGGTGAGGGGAGGAAGACAGGACAAAAGACACACTCTGGAAGAAAGCCAGAGATTAATAACAACTCATGATTAAATGCAAAGTGGTGTATAAGCACATGGTGAGTGAAAAGAGTTGAGAGAATGAGAAAGACTCAGTGCATCATGGGAAGCCCCCAGCAGCCTACGCCTATTGCAGCAGGGCTTGCAAAATCGCTAGCCCAACGTCCCGGAGCTAGCGATATCTCCGGTCGGGCGACCAAAATCTATCTCAGTGTAAGGAAGAGGACTCCCTTACTACATTTATTTATATTATACTATCTATATAAGTCTCAGTCAGGCTATATGATAACCCGATGGGCAGGGCTGAGATAGATTTTGGTCGTCCGACTGGAGATATCGCTAGCTCCGGGACGTCGGGCTAGCGATTTTGCGAGCCCTGAGCAATAAGGGAGGATTCAGGGTCACCTGATCCAACCCTTGTAAGCTTTATTAAAAATAAAGTTTTAAGCCTGATCTTACAAGTAGAGAGGGTATCTGTTTTCCAAATCCAAACTGGGAGCTGCTTCTGCCGAAGATGGTCCTGAAAGGCTCTCCCTCCCATTCTACTTTTAAATATCCTGGGAACCACAAGTAAGCTTGCAGCCTGAGAGCGATGTGCTCTATTGGGCTGAAATGTAATATTTAATACAAGGTCTTTAAGGTAAGATGGATTCTGATTGTTCAAGGATAATGATTTTAAGTTTGATTCTGGATTTCTGAGAATGCTGCAGCATTTTGGATCAACCGAAGGAGTTTTTAGGACATCCTGGTAATAAGAAATTACAGTAGTCCAGCCTAGAAGTAATAAATCAATGAACTAGCTTTTCAGTGTCACTCTGGGACAGGATCCTTCAATTTCAGAGATATTGTGCAAATGCAAGAAAGCAGTCCTACGTAACTGTTGCACATTGAACAAAATATCCTGATCAAAAATTACTCCCAATATTCCTCACATGCTTTTACTTAAATGCCACTATATTTATCATAGTTACTCCTGCTCTTAAGGGAATTGTAAAAGATATTGTATACTTACCTAACAGAACGGCTCCTAAGAGGGGTCCTAATACACAGAAATCCACTGCAATAAAAGAATGTTTTAGTTAGAACACCGTGACTATGAAATATTCTGATCCGTTTGTTCATGCAGCGAAGTGCGTGACTCTGTAATTCTACAATTTCAGGAAAAAACATTACCACCAAAGACCAAATCCTTTAAAACTGCATGCTGTCTTTTCCCTTATCAGAATACTTGGTGCTTCTTTTTAATATACATTTCTGTGCACTTACAGTAGCACTACTGTTGCCAGGGGCAACCACACATATTACATGGCTTTCTGCCTCCCAGGCGTGCAATCCAGGAAGGCAATAACTCCCGTAGCCAGCAAATATCCCAAAGATCTGCTGTATCTAGGCTACCTGCGTTTTATGACTCACGTCTATGTTTTATAACTCCCTTCCTGGAAGAAACAAAGTGCGCACTAAGGTGCCCAACTAGTTCTTTTCAGTAGCAAACACGTTGTTAGTGTTTAGCCTTGAATTGATGGGGCAGTATAACCATGAATGCATTCCTCACAGCAACAGCTGCAGGGTGTGTTTTAAGGGTACGGCAGGCTGCAGATAGGATTATACTTACCATCAGCCAGGTAGAGTATTCAGATAATCTACTACAGTATAGCCAGTGGTATTATATGAGATTAAATTTGAGAGTTCTGTCTATAAAGTAATAACCAAAACTGAATTCACCTACCAGCTTGAAAGAGGTTAGCTAAAGAAGATTTGATTTCAGGCCACAGGCTTACTGATCAAATGACTAAATTAGTTCCAAGCTGATACTCGATTTGGTGTGGGCACAACACAGGACACCTTCATAGTTCAAGGGTTCATGTGTTGACCGATCGCAGTGTTTAGATTACAGTCATGGGGGCTTACATAATGTTGGGTAAGTGATTTCTACCGTCTGGTTAATTGGTGTATAATACACAAATGGAAAGTGGTGAGGTATCAGGTGTAGGCAAATTCCAGGCAGGTATCAATAAGACAGATTAAAGCACTTAGT